CTCTCTTATTATAAATCCATCTGCATAATCCCATTGCAAAAATAGAATTATAAAAGGTCCTATCAAGTCAAAGGGAAACAATTCAACTTGCAATATTATTTGGTGAGTACCAACTAATATACCAGATTACATATTATTATACTGGCAAAAGCAGCTTTATAATACTACTTAAAAACAGAAAGTCGGGCAAAAAAAGAACTTGATAGTGGTTGAAGGGTCAGATACCTCCCCTGTGCGTAATGAACTCGGAGTGCTAGGTTCATTCATTCATTTAGCAAATGTCTGTCGAGCACTTATTATTTGCCAGTTCTATCTAGGCAGTTGTGATTAGAACAGCAAAAATCTTCCCCTCATAGAGCACGTACTCCACTGGAGAATTAGTCAACAAACAATATTTAAAAGTAAAAATATATGTTAGTGATTAATGCTAAGGAGAAAAACTACAGCAGAGAAGGAGTTGAGTGTGTGATTTGGGGTGTTTGGTAAGGAAGTGGAGAGGTCAGGGAAAGCCTCATTGAAGAGGTGTCTGTTGTGCAAGAACGGGAGGAAGTATGGGAGTATTCATAGCGAATACTCTAGAAAAAAAGGAGTAGAAAAGGAAATGCTCTGGGCAAGAATGTGCCAGGTGAGTGCCTGAACCTGCCAGCTGCAGGAGCAGTGCATGAGAAAGTCAGAGTCCTAGTAGACGGGTCAGAGAGGTGAGTGAGAAGGGTGGAAGTCCAGGCCGGTCCTGCTGGCCTTGGAACGGGATTGTGATTTTCACAGTCTGAGGTCAGGAGCCAGTAGAAGATTCTGAGCTGAGAGGTGATGCACTCTGACTGGTTCACAGGTTCCCGCTGAGAGCTGAGCTAGGAACAGACTGTGGAAGGAACACAGGCAGAAGGGCTTTCTGCCTAGACTTGAAGCCTAGACTTCACTTAAGTAATATTGCCTCGTGGGAGCTTTTATGTTTGTAAAAAACTGTTTGTTCCCTCCTTTGCCTTACAATGTTCTACCCATAAGACAAATTCCTTATGGAGTGAGTGTGCGTGTGCATGCGTGGTGTGTGTGTGTGTGTGTGTGTGTGTGTGTGTGTGTGTTGGAGCTTCCAGGGAGCCTCGTTGTTAGCTAGCACGGAGCCCTGGCTTAACAGCTCTCATTCCCCTCCCTCCTCTCTCCTTTGTCTTTTTCATATTCTGTCTAAAGTTTGCCAGCTGGCCTCTGCTCCTCTTTAGAACTTCACCCTTTTGTGTTGATCGATATTGCCATGTGTTTCTGCCATTCATCTTCCAGTTTCCACTTGTGTAATGAAAGGGGGTAGAGAGACATGGTGAGAGGTAGAAGCAGAGAGATGCACGGTCAGCCCAGGTCGCATATCTAGGGCTCTCATTAAACAGACATTTAAAATACTATTCTTATTTCCAGCTCATAACAGTACTAAAGTCTATTTTTTAAAAAAAAAAATCAGAATATTTAGAAAAACAATAATAAAGGCACAACTACAATATAAATATTAAACTACTTTTTTGTGAGAAGGTTCTATTCACATTCTTGTTTTTTTTCTGTTGTATTCAATTCTATTGAACTGAGAGAAATAATAAATTAAGGATAAGTATTATTTGCCTTCTATGCATATTGTAAATATTTCTGGTTTTTTTGTTTACTATTTTATACAGATATTTCAGTGTTTAAGTCAATTGTATTGCTTTGCAATACCTGCCATTATTTATAATTTGGTACCTGCCATTATTTACAATTTGGGGGCGGGGGGGTGCTGAGAATGATTTCACCTTTAAATATACCAGAACTTAATTAATCCATCAGTAGAAATAAGAAAGAAGTAGGTCAAGTAAAGCAAATATGAGTGCAGGAGCCCACGGTTAGAGCCCATGGATAGACTAAAGGCAGTTTGGATTTGAACACAATGATAATAGCATTTCTGTATGGGCATGCTCTGACCCACCCAGTAGTTAGTCTCTATCTTTCTCCCTTCCCTCTTCCTCCTGAAATAGCAGCCTGAACAAATGGCTTCTCTACCATTATTGCAGGCAGAAGCCAACCCAATGGTGTTCCTATGGGACATGATACAAAGCCAAGAAAAATGTTTATCAATCTCACTAAAGAGTGGAAGCTGGCACATTGGTTATAATCTATGTCATGTTGACTCTGAAGATCCTACCCTCGGTCAGCTCAGAGCTGGCACTGCCTATAACCTGCAGGTGTTTCTATGTGCACTGTCATGAGTGAATGCTCTGAGTTTTCAGTATGTAGAACTAAATCATCACTGTGGCAGAATGCACTTTCTTACCCTCAATTTTTAACACTCTATGAAGTCACAGAAAAAGGCAGAGCCATCTCCCAGGCAATACAAGGAGTGTAAGAATCCCAATTTATTATAATTCTTACAGGTGTGCCATAAGTGTTGTCTTTATTGGGGCACAGAGATGACAGAGGATGTGGGAGGATATCAGAGCATATGATGGGTTAAGGGGAGTACCTCACTATCACATTCATGTTCAAAGAGAAGTCTACATTTAAATATAAATATTATATGAATATAAAACCAAGTCAAAGAAAATCAAGGAATTTCATTAAACACAATATCAAAAACTGATTGAAATACATTAGGCATAAACTGGGGGCACGTATCAAAGTCTATTTCAATACATCCTTCCAGAATCAATCAGGTTCTTTCTTCTTTAAGGGTATTTTCAGATGTGGTGACCTCAGCAAAAGTCTCTGATGGGAGGATGGACAGGCTTTAGCTATTAGTTTCAATGTCTAGTTCACATCCAGGTCTCCTTTCATTTTCAACATGCAAGCAAGCAACTTGGTGTCTAGTTGTTCCCTGGTCAGTATGAAGGGAAAGGGGGGGAGGCAAGGCCATATAAATAACTCCAAGTCTTAGGTCTCCTTTCCCAAGACAGGAGGTTGTCTGCAACCTCAGACACTACTTCTTAAGGTCACTCAAATAGTGAGGGTTTGACCAGCTTGGAGAGGCACTACTTCCTAGGTAGGATTCTCATGACATGTCACTTGAACATTTCTTCCGAAGGTCTCATCCTCTTCTTTCTCCCCTGCCAGGCCTCCTGTGGGACAGAGGTGGCCTTGCCAAGCCTGGACATTCTCTTATCCAGGCAGAGTTTTAAGATCTGTCAAAGTTCCAGTACTACCTGAAAGCCCTTCATTCTGCCACCAGATCTCTGTTTTTGCTGCATGAAAGTCAAGTAGTCGACTACCATATATTTTTGTTCCTCATCCTATTAATAAAGTGTTCCTTTTCAGACCCCTTAGGGCAGTGGTCGGCAAACTCATTAGTCAACAGAGTCAAATATCATCAGTACAACGATTGAAATTTCTTTTGAGGGCCAAAATTTTTAAACTTAAACTATATAGGCTTGTACATTGTTGTTAACTTAATTAGGGTACTCCTAAGGCTTAGGAAGAGCCACACTCAAGGGGCCAAAGAGCCGCATTTGGCTCGCGAGCCGCAGTTTGCCGACCACGGCCTTAGGGGGATGCTTTTTAGCACAACTTCCAGTGCTGTCTGGGCAGACATCTTCAAGACACATGAATAAAAGTAAAGAAGGGTGCAAGGACTGTGCCTGGGGTAGGCCAAGGACCAGTTGAAATTAAATTCACCTAATGGCTGGCTAGTTACATGCTTAGTAGGAAGGTCACAGGGATAGTTGGCTATTTGTCTATGATCAACCTGCTTACTCAGACTGCCCTTTCTTTCCATCTGTCTGTGCCTGCAGCATCTTCATCAACTCATGCTCAATGTCTCTCTCCAATAATTTTAAACTTAGAAAAAATTTTCCCAATCCAAGGTATTTCTTTGATATTCAGATTTTTTAAAAAAAACAAATTAGAACTAGGGTAATGAGCATCCCTAGATCATAATTTTTATTATATACATAACCCAATGAAACTCTGAAATAATTTTCCTTTTTTATTTTATAAATTACCATTGTCAAAGGGGAGGAAGAGAAGGAAAGAGAGAAATGAAATTGTTACTATGGCTAAAAAAGCAGCAGTATATATGAGTGTGTGGAGGGGTGTGCATAAAAGAGGAGGTGTAGTGTGCTTTTGTGTGGATCTTGTTCAACTCCGTTTGAAGAGATATCTCAATTTAGAGGAAAATATTCTGAACTTGGGATCACAAGACCTAATTCTAGATTCTTTCTAGTGCTGTTTCTGTCACTAACTGTGAGAGCCTGGGCAAACCACATAGACTTTGTGCCAGTTTCTGCATCTGAATTCCAATCTGCATTTGCCGTCTGAATATCTATAGTATTGTGATATCTAATAGTATACACATCAAAGCAGTAGCACTATGAAGTGTGTGCGTATATATATGTATATATCCAACAATTATTGAGCTGTATCATTATTGTTCTCATTAATAAATATTTGTGCCCGATTCTGGTCTCCCCCCATGAGACTATAACTCTGTTATTATCTTTTCCTAGTATTTTGTTTGGTTGTTTGGGGGAATAAAGGGGTGCTTTGTGCTTCTTTGTTAACACTTCAGGTAAATTATTGTTCTAACATTTGATCCATAATCTCAAGACTGGCTTAGGCTTCCAAGAAGAAAAATTGTGTGTAAAATTCCTACTACTATATTGTCCAACTCCAATGAATCTTCCTTTATCTCTACCTTTTATTTGTGATAGAGGCTATCTGGCCACAGTGTGCTGAATGTATTGTCTAAACCAAAGTGATAACTGTGGTGAAAATTTAGGTCATACACACACTCAAAATGGTATTCATGAGAGAGATACACTTGGGGTTTGAGGATCTGTTGCCCTACTTTCAGACCACAAGGTGACCACTCTTGTGCCCATCATGCACTGAGACCGATCCTGGAATTTTATAACATTTAAACAACAAATATTAAATATGCCACTTCAATAAATTATGAATTCTGGAAGTAAGCTATATTGATGTCAGCTCAGATCCTATAACAAATGCAGGCTATGCAAATAAAACTTTGTACATACATATATATTAATACTTACTGTATTGACAATTTCTTCCCATGAATTCACCTGGGCACTCACAGGAATAGTTTGCAACAAGGTCTGTACATATTCCACCATTTTTGCAAGGCTCAGCTTCACATTCATTTATGTCTGAGGAAAACAGAAAAAAACATAAGAAGTAAGGGATTGGTGAAAAAAATGATTAGTTATGTGTATTAATCATGAGTCAACAATACAAATGCTGCTTAAATTTACTAACAATCAAATTAAATCAAGTTCAAGTGGAATTGAGAATCTAAATGAAAGACCAACGGAACTAAACTACTCTTCTGTAAAAAATATAAATATGAATAGTGTATGGAAATAGTCAGTGTATTCTTAGAATTAAATCAAACAAATTAACTCTGATAGAGGGATGAATTGGTATCACTTACAAGATCTAGAAACTTCCCCTGCAGCAACTGCCAATTAACACTGTCTCATTTCATCTTAATTCATTAAAATTCTAACTGACAGAGATGTTTTAGTTTCTAAATAGTTTGCCTTTGATGAATGCGATGAGAAGCAAATTAGAGTTAAAAGCTAAAGCTCATTAAATGCAAAGTATAATAAATGTAAATGATGATCACTTCCTAATCTCATTCAAGGGTTTCTAAAGTTAGGATAACTAAAGAGACTTACCCCTTGATATACCATTATTATACCTGATGTAAAATCATTGGAAATATAAAACACTTAAATTACACTAATTTCCATGCTAATTTTGGACAACAGAAATAATGAGTATGATTTTAAATGAAAAAGTAATAATGACTAATTCCGTCAAATATCAGTCACTAATATTTACCAATCATTCCTTCTAAGCACAGCACCACGCTGGGCTCCTTGGGAACAGTGAAGTAGTCAAAGGACACACACTGCTTCCATTGCTTCCTCTTCCTGTCATCCACTCCGATGAACTCCCTCTCTGCCTTTCTTCCCACAGCTCTGTTTTCCCCCAACCTTCTTACCTACCTAAATGGTGTTACTTAGAAATTGCCGATTCACTCGCCTTTCACCCTTTTACCTAGTCAGACTGCGAACTTTACAGATTCAGCTCCTGCTTTGCACTGTTCTTTGTACTTCTGCAAATGCCACACACTATCTGGTGACAACTATTGCCCATAAATGTTTCCTGATAGTTCTAACAAAAGATTAGAAATAGTGGTGCAGACAATGTAAATGTGGTGTGTTTTTTGTTTTTTTGTTTTTTTTTAAATTTCAGATGTGTTTTGTGCCTTCTGATACACTACAATGTATCAAAAGGTATTTGTGAAGTCCTGGGTTTTCATAGTACTTAAGGCAGTATATACCATCATTAAATTACCCCCTCAAGACCAAACAAGGGCAAAATACTAGAAAAGTCTCTATTTGCACTTTGCTTTATCGTTTTCTCCTAAATAGTATTTCCTCCTGGAAGCAAAGTTGCCCACCTCTCATTATAAGTTTACTGTACAAATGTTGGTCTAAATTTCCTTAGGCAGGTGATGACTGACTCTGAAAAAGCATCCTTTTTGGTTTCTGGTTGATTGTTACAGCTTAAGAGGAAAATCAATTCATGATTGTGTTCAGAAAGATTCAAAATAATTTAAGTATTTTATATAATCAAATAATAAAATAAAACCAGAATCTGATAGTCTCGAAAAATAGCTGTGTGCTATAGTAAAACACAATAGACTTCTAGACATTTAACACTAAAACTCTCCAGAAATAAAGAAAGAAAGGAAAGAAGGAAGGAGTCATTTGTTTTCTTATCTGATATAATAGTTAGCTCTTTTTAGTCATATCAACATTTCACTTAGTCTTTATATTAAACTAATGCAAATTATTTTCATTAAATTTTGAAAGTGCACAAGAGTCTCTGTGCTATCTATTTTTTTTTTTTTGCAAGCTCAGTGTAAAGTAAGATGATGTTTGGCAACTTTGGAACATGCCTGATATATCTTTGCTTGATCATATGTGCTAAAATTTGTTTTAGATGAGAATATGTTCACGGCTAAATTAAACTTTCACCTCTTAAAGAGTGCATTGACTTATTTTTAAAATTACACATGTGATTCTTTTATATACTGATATAGGAGAAATTAAGTATTGATATCTGAAGATCACATAAAGGAAGTATAACTTCATTTTGGACTTGAAAGTTTTACTTGGGATTAGTAAGGGCAGGATGAAGATGATGGTGTATCTCTGAGCAGGATGAGTCACCACTTTGAAGAGAAATGTCCATGGTGTGACGCCGTGTTCAGGTACGGGAATAGCCCAGTCTGCCTGGAGCAGAGAATGGAAGAGGAGTGCTGGTGACCACATCTGAGGATGCAGACAGGGAGCAGATTATGAAGGACCCTGACTGCTAGCTGAAGGAGCTGCTTTTATCTTGTGGCATTGAAGACCTGGGAACAGATGGAGGGTACTCTCTGCACCCTGTGCTTTAGAAAGACCTAGTAAATCATATGTGTCATGGGCTTAAGAAATGAGTAAAGGAAGGAGGATGGAGACCTACACAAGATTTGATGTTAATAGAATATATATACATATCGTAATAATAAAAGGCTAATATGCAAATGGCCATGACGCCATGACACTGTAATGACCAAACAGCAGGAGGCTTTGTGTGAGGCAGGTGCGGGTGGGCAGGGACTTGCAGCATCAGTGGGTGGGGACTTGTGCCGGCCTGGGATGTGAGGCTGCCTCCCCACCCAGTGCCAGGCGGGGGAACATGATTAGCAATATTAAAATATTTTCTCTAATTAATTCCCTTTTAATGTGCAGAATTTTGTGCACCAGGCTACTAGTGTATGTATGTATGTATGTGTGTGTGTGTGTGTGTGTGTGTGTGTGTATATATATATATATATATATATATATATATATATAATTTCCCCCAAAATTCAGCTGATAACTGAATTTTGAACATAAAATGTATTTTAATAAACACTGCCTTTATAATTATTCAAAGTGTGTGCATTTTGGGGGGGAAACCCCTATATATATATATATATATATATATTTTAATATTCACCCAAGGATATGTTGTTTTTCTCCCCGTTATTTTTAGAGAGAGAGAAATAGAAAGAGAGAGAGAGAGATGTTGTCAGGGAGAAACATTGATCAGTTGCCTCTCATACACCTGAAGCAGGGATCAAACCCACAACCTAGGTATGTGCCTTGGCAGGGGATTGAACCCACAATCTTTTGGTATATGGGACAGTGCTCCAACCAACTAACCAGGGCACAAGATATATTTTAATTCTCAAGTAAGAGGCTCTAAGCATTTTCTCATTTTAAGATTGAGTTGAATCATAAGTAAAATAAAACCCAGCTTCTGGTACTTTGATATGTTAATAGGAGGTAGTTTTTACAGTGCATGACATGAGAACAATCAAGCGTTAAAACACATACATTAGGAATATGCAGGCACTCTTGTTCATAGTTTCCTTGCATCTTCCAAGACTTTACACAATACATTGCATTTACACATGTTAATATGAATCTAATCAATTTTTAAACCTTCTGCCTATTCTTCAGGACAGATCTACAATGGCCCACAAAGGAAGTTATAATTAAGAACATCTCATTCTAAGAAAGCAAACAAACACAAACAGTTACATACGTGAACATAGGCAAGATAAACTGGAACTGCATAGCTGAAGTGAAAATGCTTTATAGTCATATTCAACTTGTGATAAAAGGGGCCTTTTATTATTTGGGCATTTTTCAATTTTTCTTTAAATTTAAAGAACTATCTTAAATCTAAATTCATAAAAACATAAATGTCATATTAAGTAAGTTATGTTCTTTAATATAGTAGCAAGATAAGTAACACATTTCTACATATGTACATATTTGGTAACATACAGGCTCAGAGAACAGATGCAAATTACACAGAAGCGGTTATACATTAGTATAATATAGGGATTCTTTCAGTGGCAAAGGCTATTTGCACTGTGATTAACACTGCAAGCAATCTAAGTGGAAACAGATCTCAATTTGAATAAATCATGTTTAATTAAAGACTAGATATAAATGTTCACAGAACATAATGTAATGAAATGAAAACTAAACATCTTTGTAATAAATCACATATATTTCTCTTTTTCACAGATTAAGGCATTATCATTTCCAGAAAAAAGTTCACATCTAGCACAAATATACTAGACTATACTAGACTATTTTTATAACTAAGAAAAACTTGACACAGCAGTTCCCAAATAAAATAGAAATTTCCATATTTGGCCATATTTCTAGTTCATGTATTATAAAAATAGCTATCATTTTTTGAGGTCTTTGCTTCTATGATTGCCCAATGAAAATTGTTTTTTTTTAAAAAAAAACTAACTGAAAATTGTACTTTATCAATACACCAGCTGAGTCCTGATTTCTCTCTATCAACACATAAAACATTACTGTGCGCAGTCTAGTCATAGAGTCATAGTAACTAGCTAAATCTGGATTTCCAGATGTAAATGCATATACACCTTTTCTTTGAGAGTGGGGGAGAGGAGCAGGGACGGAAGAAGAAAATAAGGTAAAGAAAGACCAGAAGAGATGAGAGAGTAGACAGATGGTCACAACAGAATGAATTTCATTGAACCAAAGAGGTACTCCAAGAGGATTTCCATGCCCTTTGCTCTGTTGTCAACTTGCTACACAGATTTGTTCACTTGTATATGTATAAGTTAGACTCTGTCTTTATCATTAGGTCTCAGCCCATTTTCTTCAGATTTGTAAAGGTGTTTATAGTCTACCCTCTTTGCCTTGAGTTTTTGCTAACAAATAATTGGTCAGATAGTTTCCATTTATTTTTTTGTGGTGAGGATATTTAAGATAGATGCTCCTAGAAACAGTCAGGTATATAATACAGTATTATTAGCTATAATCACCGTAATGGACTTTAGATCCCCCAAACTCGCTAATCTGACAACTAGAATTTTGTACACTGACAAATATTTCCTCATTTCTCTACCCACCACTCTACTCTCTATTTCTCTGAGTTTGTCTTTTTAGATTCCACATATAAGTGAGACCACACTTTGTCTTTCTCTAACTTCACTTCACATAATGTCCCCAAAATCTATCCAAGTTGTGACAAATGGCAGAATTTCCTTCTT